AGTGGGCTATTTCTGCTTCTTTACAGCCTCTGTAAGACCTTAACCCCACACCTCCCTCCCTTCTGTTTAGCATGCGTGTTGTCTCCTGTATCACAGAAATGACGAGACCACCCAGCCCCAGCTCCTGCAGTTTCCTCTAATTCCACCTCCTTCTCATCTTCACCTATCAGTTTCCAACTACCTCTCACGCTCAGGAAAAGGCACCTGCGTCCCTCTGTGTCTTCTTCCACTTATCCAAAGATATTCCTCTACCATACTTCTTTCCCCATACTTTCGTGGATTCTCAAGAACCTTCATCTAACAACTAGGTATTTTCTTGCCTGTATTTTCCAAATGTCTACCTCTCCATGGCACCTTTACTTCTGTTCATCGACAAGTTCATGTTTTCCCTGTTAAAAATAAAATGAAATTAAATTAAAAATAAAACTTTCTCTAGTCTCCTATCCTTTCACTGCTATGCTGAGAGAGAGAGAGACAGAGAGAGAGAGATTATGTCTCTTCACTCATGTACTTGAGCACTAATTTCTCACCCACTGCTTAATACTTTTCAATATGGCTTCTGCCCAAAATATTTCTAATAATTTTTTAGCTTAGTGAAATGAGTGTTAAGAATGAGTGCCCAACTCTAAAGCATGATGATTAGCTTTGAATAAGGATTAACACCCAAATTAAACCAATACAAACTTGGCAGTAACCATGATTACTGCACTTAAAGATTACTTAGAGAAGAATATGTAGGAAAAGGCAGGCAGGGAAGCAAGGATCATTAGAAACACAGGCTTCTCAAAAGGGAAGGGGCAAAAATGGCATGGAATATGGGACAGGAGGGTTGTGAAGCCGTCCATGAGATGCTGTATGAAGATGGCAGGGATGACTGCCATTAGGAGTTGAATGTTACTGTAAATATGTTTTGCCACCACAACTAGTCTCAGAAAAAAAGCAGGGTCCTTGGAGATCTCTGCAGACCCTTCAAGCTGAGAGTTTCTTTCTTCCACCCCAATGTCAACATATTGGTCCAGATTCTTATTATCTCCATAATCGCAATAGTTGCCCAAATAGGGTCCCTGCCTCCTGGTCCTCTCCCCTCCCTCTCAATTAGCCCTACCTACTGATACTGCTGTTGTCTGATTTCTTTTACATAGAACAAGAACTAAGCAAATGTGAATAAACGAAGTGATTAATGAATGAATTAATAAAATAATTCCAAAGTTATATAACCACTGCAGCCCTCACAAAGATGACTTTTTCAGTGGTGCATTTTAAAAAAAGAAAACTTATACAGGGAAAAAAAATATTAGTCTACAGGAGCCAAGAAGCCTTGGTAAGAGAGGAGATGGGGACTGGTAAAGCTCATTTTAAGATATATAAGACGCCCTGCCCCAGCAAAAAAAACTTGCTTTTATTAAAACTCAAACATTAGAGCAAGGGATTTTAAGCACCACACACGTACAAAATAAATAATTCTAAAACTGAATTTGTTACACAGAATTTTATGGTCTGCTGTTCACAGATAGCTAGAAATCATGGGGAAATACAGGCTCATTCAAGTCATAAATGGTGAAGGCCTCAGCACATGCTGATGAGATGCAAGCAGATTGTTAAAATACTAAAATGCCAATAAAATCTGTGAATTCAGCTTGTTTCTGTCACTAAGTGACAGACACCAAAGTGGATCATCAACAATTTTATAGAATCACTCAATTCCCAGGCCTCAACTTTCCATCAGGTAAAAAGATATCAAAATTATGAATATTTTACGATGTAATGTTATTGCATTATTAAAATCATATTCTCTACACAATTCTGTTGGAGAAAGCATGTTTATGTTTTCATTACTGCATTTTCATTTATAATTCAGCAATTGTGATTTGTGTGAAGTATATCAATTTAGGAATTGTTTAATTCTTTCTTTAATAGCACTATCACATTATTTTTTATTTCTAGTAGATATTTGAAGTTGATGTTTAGCTCTTAAAATCATTTAGAACAATCTCAACATGGCTTGAAAAGACTCTTGGGGTCCAACTTGAACTGAATAATTTAGAAAAAGTTCAGAATGCTAAAAACATGAAAAAATAAATCGTGTGAAACGGGAATGAAAATGAACCTAGCTTTTGATTTTCCCTATGGGAAATAACCTTAATTTTATGAGAAAATGATATTGCTAGTGGTGCTTCAGGTAACACTTTTAGCAGAGATTTTTAAAAGGATTTTATAAGACATAGGAAGCTAGACTACAATCAGTATGCTGGTAAGGTCAGTTTGAACTCAATAATCAGTTAGGTCTTTGTTTAAAGCTGCTAATGAATAAGTTACTTTTCATGTTTGTAAAAAACTTAGAGCCACAGAATCTTTTCAGCAGCTGTAGAGTATTTGACACAATCTTTTTTTGGTGATGAATTATCCGATGGCATTAACTGCAAATATTTTTTTTTTTTTCAAATGAGAAATTTTGTTCATGGAAGCAACAGTCATTAACGTCAGGCCAAGAGGGGCTTTTATTTTTAATGTGTGCTTCTCTATGTAACCTTCACTTCTCTGCATTGTTATTTACAGAAGTCAGGTGATTTATTTTGTAAAATTTGTTTTCGTTATTGTAGATAATAATCATACTTTGTCTTTAACTAGAAATCACATGTATATAAGCCAGGGGTCTGCAAACATTTTCTGGAAAGGGCCAGATAGTAAATATTTCAGTCTTTACAGCCAGATGGTCGCTGCAGCAACTACTCAACTCTGCCGTTGTTCTGCAAACACAGCTCTAACCAACACACAAACCAGTGGATGTGGCTGGTTCCAATTAAACTTTATTGGTTAAAAACACACAGTGGACAGAATTGGGCTATAGTTTGCTGACCCTGGTTGAAGGGAGTATCTCCGTAGGTAAGCAGGAGAGGGAGGGCCAGAGACTTAAGAAATATCAACCTCTTATTTTCTATAATTCATTGGATTTTAGTGGCTCCAAAAAATAAATATTGCAGCTAAGTTAAGTGCCATAAAAGTTCATATTTACTTTCATGACTATTATAATAAGTCATATTTTGCTGACTGAATTCAACTCTCTTCTACTAGGACCTGCTGAGCACTTGCGTTGCGACACTGATTGGCAACAAGCATGATACAAAATGTAATAAGCCCAGTTCCTTAGGAATAGGTTTGAAGAGGAGATATTTCGGGTTTTGATATTAAAGAACAGGCGCTCAGATAATTTTCAGTTTCTCCCCACCATGCTGGCCTTTTATATGTGATGCTACATCCAACACTGCTACTTTCTAAATCAGCTCAGGGCGAGAGGACATTGATTTTGAATTTCCCTTTGTTCTCGTTCCATCACTCCCACGTAGGACTTTAGATGTCAGTATTCCTTTTTGCTTACTTTACTTTTCTTAAGAAATGGTGCGAAATACTACTCTACTCTGCCCTACTTCTTTATTTTGAGGTTGGGGGAGTGTTGAGTTTCAATTCCTGTATTTTTCAGCACTAACAATCTGAGTAGCCCTTTCATTTCCCCTGGGGAGATAGCTAAGATATGTATATATATATATATATATATATATATATATATATATACATACACACACACACACACACATATTTTAGATCCACTCTTTAAAAAGCATGCTTCTGAAGAAAGGGTGTCCCTACCTAAAAAGAAAGCTGTAGCAGCAGTTCGTGCATTCTTCCAGCCTGTCACTGTGACTCAGATTTTAAAAAGTAATTCCGTAGATTTTAAAAAACTTTTTAAATGTAACCAATTTAAAGCAATGTTTCTGATTAAATTTATTAGCAACTTCTAAGAGCTGGTTAAATCATTAGAATTATTGAATGGCTAAGATTTGAATTTACCGCCTAGAGTTATGAAAGGCTTATCTTATCTAAAGAGGAAAGTAAATTATTTTTAAAAATCTGAATATGAGATATAATGATTTCATAGACTGCAAATCTATGAAACTAGAATTCATAGTAATTCAGAAACTAGTTGAAGTAAATTTTTTGGCAGATATAGTAATTAACATTTTCAAACAATAGGATTTACTGTACTTGAGTTTCATGTGACCAGAAATTTCTGTGACTTTTAAACAATGATGATTATCGGCATTTTAGACCATTCAATATGACCAAATAGGTATGCATCTTCCTAAGAAAATCTTTGTAATATTTTCAGTTTAAGACTTTCTGTGGAAACGTCATTCTTTGCTTACACCTTAAAATTTTTTCCAAATTTATTCACATTGGTAAGATACCATATTTACTAAATTATACACTATGGCCCTATAACACTATCATCAAAAATAAAACAATGAAGTTATGAGACATCAACATTCCTTAAAACAATTATAAGTTCATAACTTTTATATATGAAAACCCATAGACAATGACCTATGAATAGATTAAGCCGGGGCATAGCTTGATAGTTGTACTGTTAAACCTGGCTTCAGTGTAGAAATAAAATGACAGTGTATTTTTGATGTGCCTGTGACTATACAAGTAAAAATAAATTAGTACAGGTTGAGTATCCTTTATTTCATATACTTGGGATCAGAAGTGTTTTGGATTTTGAATTTTGCAGATTTGGGAATATTTGCAGATACATAATGAGATATCTTGGGAGTGGACCCAAGTCTAAACACAAAATTTATAATATTTATGTTTCGTATATACCTTATACACATAGCCTGAGGTAATTTTATTTTTCCCTTGGGGACATTGAATAGACTGTGTGTCGTGGGGCTGCATTTTGACTGTGTGGAATTGCTCCACTTGTGGCGTCATACTGGTGCTCAAAAACGTTTGGAATTTAGATTTTCCGATTAGGGATGCACTACCTGTATAGATCATAGATTCAGTTCTAGCATTAAATAGAGTGAAATGTCCAAGTGTTCTAAATCTTAGGTTGCAAATTCTATTGGTAACAGAGCCTGGCATAAGCAAGTGTAGAAATACGCTGGTGAGAAGTTTTCTCTGGGAGATCTTATACCGGCTTCTGTATCCGTCCTCAGAATCTGTCACTGCGAAGGGGATGAAGAGAGCCCCCTCATCACACCCTGTCGCTGCACAGGGACCCTGCGCTTCGTCCACCAGTCCTGCCTCCACCAGTGGATCAAGAGCTCAGACACGCGCTGCTGCGAGCTCTGCAAGTATGACTTCATAATGGAGACCAAGCTCAAGCCCCTGCGGAAGGTACGGTTTGGGGAGGGAGAACTCGCAAAACAGGCTTGTTTTAAAAATCCATTTTATTCTGCAATCAGATTCTTCTGCAATCATATTCTTCATGCCAATATCCAAAAGGGTACAACCCTGTGTTGGGCACAATGCACAAAATGCAGCCACGTCTTTACAGATGAGCCTTCCTTTTCTTTCCGTTTTGTATTCTAGGGTCTCTGATTTATATATCACTCTCCACAATTTAAAAAAAAGTGTATGTGTGCATGTAAATACATATATAGAAACATATAGACACATATATGCAAAATATACTTGTAAAAAATGTAATCGAATTGATGACAATTGTGAATTGTATTTACTGAGGCCAATTCCCAAGGTTAGATGCTAGATTACATTGGTTAATATGAACTCATCTAATTTCCTGAAAGGCATTAAGTACTTTCTGTAAGGTGTAGACTATTTTTTATGTTTGCTTTTATTTGGGGATTGGTTTGATGGTTCACGTATAAGTAGAATAGGTAAAAAGAAAAATATTTTCCATATTATGCATCAAGCTATGAGAAGAGGTAAGTATATTTTCATCTAAAAGTTTATCTTCGAATTTCTCATTTATATGTTATATTTTTTTCTGAAGAATGAAGGTAAGATTGTGAGTCAAATATAAAGTTAGCATCTCACTCAAAGCCACCAAAGGACAACTCATAAAGGATACATACAAACAAGGACAATGAACTTTATATAATTCATGCTCGATGGCTGGACTCCTGGATTTTAGATTGTAACTCATTCATCTTTTTGCCTAAATGCAACCTTACATATATGGATGCTTTAATTTTGGAAGGAAGAGTATGGAGACCACAATTTAAATAATGAATCAGCCTAAAGATGCTTTTTCATTTAAATTAAATGCAAAGCAAAAGTAATAGAAAGAGCATTGCTTGGATATAAATATGATGGGTTCCATAGTGAGCAGCAGTGAAGAGCAAACAAGTATATTCCGGTAGGCATCTGATTGACGATTGGCCATTGCAATTCTTCATTAATTCTGTAAATTATGGAAAGGGATAATAACATTCCCTGCTTTTATGATAGCCTTGATTTTAAAAATCTGCAAATGGCTTATAGACGTCAAAAATGATGCGCAAAATGATTTGGGGATATGCGTTATCTTCTTTTAACATACGGAGTGACGTGAGTGCCAAAAGGTAACACTCAGTTCCTGTAGGGCCCACAGCAACCACTGCCAGCACCAGAAATTCCTGGCCCCTTGCTTTCTCCGTGAGCAGATGCTGTGTGCTGTCTGCAGTAGTTCAATGACACATTGTGCTCCATGAGTCTCTAAATTTGTCTTCTTACCCCTCGGGGAACTACAAATTATTTCATGGCATCTGTATACGTCTCCATTTTTCCCACCCTACATCTATATAAAGTTTTCATTTCAACTTTGTCAAACATAATATTTCAATTTGAGAGCAACAATCTAGGACAGTAACATATGCATATTCCCCCTTCTTTACAATATCTACCACCACTGCCCACTTTTTTGTATTAATATGACAAACATAATGCTGTGAATAAACTTGAAAAGCCCCCTTCTTCTACCTGCAGTTTTGTAGAATCACCCCTTAAGCACAACTTTACTCCTTTCTTGATATTTTATTCCCAACAATTTAAAATCCTATCAGGAATTCTTTATTTTTCCCTCAACAAACCTGCTTATAAACAAGAAAAAGGGAGCAAATACATCTATCTTTTTAAATATTGATAATGAATATGTTGCTACAACCTAGTGGGCACCTACTATCTGTTGATTAATGAAATACCTTCGTTTCTTTTTAAAAAACGTTTCCATTGTTTGATTATAAATATCACTGAAGGATAGCATTTCAACATCCTTCATCTTTATGGCACTTATCCATGTACCGGGCTGTGAGAATCTAATCCAGAGGTTGCTTCCTGACACTCCACAAACGTGTTTTATTTCACCCACAGAACTTAAAATTGGAATTTTAGTTACCAACAAATTAGATATGTGATTATTTTATGTGAAATTCCACACATATGAATTTGTTTGAAAACCACAGTATCTGGCGTTACTGGAGCCACATTCCCATATGACAACAGTCAGCAGAGCTAAGAGAGGCTGGCACCTTTACAAGGAAGGCTATTTGATTCAAGTTCTCCACCTTCCTTGGCCTTAATCTCTGATCCTGAGACCTCATGCCATCTCCACTCATCTGAGTATCTCTGTGGCCCTGGAGTAGGGATCCAAATTTTCAACTCCTCTTCTAACATAGGAGTCCTAAACATGAGGAGCATACATTCTATTTCTGCCTCCATGATTTATGTAGGCTTTAACAGCCCAGGGAAAGTATTCCAAATTCTCGCTTTTCCCTTTAAAAATGTGGGGCACTGGAAGCATACTTAAGAGTCAGTATTTGTAATGACTTTTTAGATTCTGAGATGATACGAACTATACAGATATGAGGCATTTTTATACTGTTCTAGTTAGTTCGTTTTGATAGCACTAAGATCCATCAATGGTTTTCTTCAGTAGTTTTTAAATGGTCATAATGAATGCCAAGTATACCATTTGGTTAGAATATATTTGAAGCACAACCAATTAAACACTCTCAACTCAGTAATTCCATTATAGTTTATAACATTCTAAAGACCAACCACATGAAACAATTAATTTAGCTAATGTTTCTGAATTTCTATCATTAGCCAATGGAGACAGGAGATTCTGTTTGGGTGAAATGACTTTATAGAATAGAAAGGCGCAAATATGCATAGAAAGGTGCAAAGCTTCATAGACAAACCTTGGAGCTTAATAGTCTCTATAGATATCAGTAAAATATTACTTCATTAATTGTAACTATTACTCCACCAAAATCTACAGTTATTAAGTTCATTAAAGTATCCCAATGTTTCCAGAAGAAAATATTTAAAGTAAAAAGAAAATCAAGGGCTTATTCAAGGAAAAACAATGTTCATCATCTTTAAATCAGTAGCTTAGCTACTTTGTAACACTCAATAAAAGACCTATTAATCTGCTGAGTTATCCAGGGTCAGGAATAATTTTCAGGGTCCAGAAAAGTCACAAAGTCACAAAAAAAGAAAGCTCAGTGACTACTCAGTGCAATTTGGAACTACATTCAGTATTAAGAAGCATAAACTCATCTCCTATTCTAAAACTGAAAAATTACATGGGATTCGGGTTTGAATCACTCCAGAATAGAAGAAACAAGCTGTTGAATATGAAACCAACTTTATGAGGACAGCAAATGCTACTGACAACTTTATTTCTCCCTTAATGTATTTCTTAATATAATTTCCCATATGGAAACTATTTGACAAAATATAATACAAAATATTCAACTCATATATCCTTTAATTTGTTTCATTCTTACAAATAAAATGAGCCAATGAGTAAATTATCTTTGTTTTGGTAATGGTTAGGTTGAACTATATGCACATGTCATTTTTGTAGTTCAAAAACAGTTGAATACTGGAAAGCCCAGAAAATATAAGTTCTGTATGAATTAATTATGCCAAATAAAAAAGAATAATCATCTTGGTATTTCTATATTTCCACCATAATGACTTACATTGAAATACCTATTTTCCCAAAAAAGCTATATTTGACAAACTGTTAATTCCTTCCTTTCCTTAATTTGGTGTAAGAATTCATTTTTCAGAAGAGTGTGAGCCAGTGCAAGTTACCATAGCAGATTAACTGCCCAAAGATTATTATTAATACTCTGTTGACATGGATGTCTTATAATTAATAGCCTTAAAATTGACCATGGAAGGAGATAAGGCCAAACTCCTAGCTAGTATCTTTTTTGTTCCTTATTGAATAATGTTACCCAATGACACATAAAAGAAATTCAAAATGCATCATTTACTTATCATTATGGGGAATTTGCTATCTCCTTAATATGATCGCCACCTATGTGCCAGATATTTAGGATATATAACTTCATTAATTCAATCCCCATTACAACCCCATTTTTATAGGCATATCAAGCCCATTTTGCAGATGAAAAAAAATGAGATACAATAACAGATTTACTCAGTATCACCTACCCCGAAGCTCTCTGATTCTAAAGTTGTGCTCATTGCACTGTGTCACACACTACCACTAAATAGCTGAGAGACTCCCTCTTTAAGCATTGAAGCTTTGGCTTTTACTTAAACGATTTCTGATGGAAATCTTCCAAGATAAACCTCTCTAAAATAAAAATTTTTCTAACATCTTCCTTCTTAAACAAGAATGTTTGACCTAATATTTTTTCCAAATAACTCATTTACATCATTATATGCACATCAATTATTTTGCAGGCTGAAAAACATTAACAACTTCAATTGCTTGAAACACATGTATGCCTGTTTATCTTCATTCTATATTCCCAGCCTGCTGTGTTTTGAAAGCCATTCCATCTGCCTTTTGTTGTTTCTCTTTCTTTCCTGATCTTAGAGCATCAGCCTTCACTTCTGTTTCTGCAATGGTCCTTGTTCAACATTTGCCATAGCTACTCCTTTTCTGCTTTAAACAATGCCAACAACAACAAAAAATCAGGGTTCATAGAATGGAGTCTACAAAATGCTGAAATCAGTTTTGGGTGATTGTCTGTCTTTTTCGACTGTTGCCAAGAGTTTTAGTGGGCATGGACATTCTGAAATCATTCTAGGGTTCTTGGAGTTCTTTTTGGCGTCCTTTTAAATTCTCGATTTTACTCAAAGTACTTGAGATTACGTGTTAAGAAAACCCTCAACAAATGAAGTTTTGATGTCTCCATGCTGTCCCCCTGTCATCAGAGCCCAGTTCTGGGGAAAAGGCTTACTGTTCCATTTCTTCACAAATACATAAGCCTGCAAGCAATGAAAGTCTCTACCCTAGTAGAGCTCAGAAAAAAACTTTCCTATAATTCTTGCAAAAAAAAAATAATACATACTCATAATCCTCAATTCATACGTTTTCCCTTATCTTCTTGCACTCAGTTTCAGTT